CAAAAGGGTCATAAAATTTGACATACCAATTAGGATCTGGCTAAAAATACTTGAATCAGTTTTAGAACCCCATTGCCCTTTATGGTTGTGAGGTCTGTGGTCAGCTCATCAACCAATAATTCACTAAATGGGACAAACACCAAATTGAGACTCTGCATGCAGAATTCTGCAAAAATATCCTCTGTGTACAACGTAAAACACCAAATAATGCATGCAGAGCAGAATTAGGCAGCTAATTATCAAAATCCAGAAAAGAGCCATTCATTTCTACAACCACCTAAAAGGAAGCGATTCCCAAACCTTCCATAACAAAACCATCACTTACAGAGAGATTAACCTGGAGAAGAGTCCCCTAAGAAAGCTAGTCCTGGGGCTCTGTTCACAAACACAAACAGACCCCACAGAGCCCCAGGACAGCAACACAATTAGAACCAACCAAATCATGAGAAAACAAAAAGATAATTACTTGACACATTGGAAAGAATGAACAAAAAAGAACTAGAATGCTATTTGGCCCTAAACAGAGAGTACACAGTGGCAGAATACCTGACCACTGTGACTGACCCAAAATATTGGAAAGCTTTGAATATGTACAGACTCAGTGAGCATAGCCTTGATATTGAGGAGGTCGCCATAGGCAGACCTGGCTCTCAAGAGAAGAAAGGCTATGTGCACACTGTCCACAAAATGAGGTGGAAACTGAGCTGCACTTCCTAACCTCCTGCCAAATGTATGACCATATTAGAGACACATATTTCCCTCAGATTACACAGACCTACAAAGAATTTGAAAACAAATCCAATTTTGATAAACTCCCATATCTATTGGGTGAAATATCACAGTGTGTAATCACAGCAGCAAGATGTGTGACCTGTTGCCACAAGAAAAGGGAAACCTGTGAAGAACAAACACCATTGTAAATACAACCCACATTTATGTTGATTTATTTTCCCTTTTTTTTTTTTACTTTAACTATTTGCACATCGTTACGACACTGTATATAGACATAATATGACACTTGAAATGTCTTTATTCTTTTGGAACTTGTGTGAGTGTAATGTTTACTGTTCATTTTTTATTGTTTATTTCCCTTTTGTTTATTATCTACTTCACTTACTTTGGCAACGTAAACATATGTTTCCCATGCCAATAAAGCCCCTTGAATTGAATTGAATTGAGAGAGAGAAAGAAAGAGAGTGAGAGTGTGTGTGTGTGTGTGTGTGTGTGTGTGAGAGAGAGATAGAGCGATTCAGAGAAGGAGAGAGAGCGAGAAGACTGCATACAGGCGAGAGAGAGGTAGAACAAGTGAATAAGAGAGAGAAAAGGAGGGAGTGAGGAATGAGATGGAGTGAGACATCCAGGCTGATATGAGAGAGCCTGTTGAGTATTGGGGCAAGGTGTTGTGAGGCTCTATGTGTCTGTGCTGTCGGGAGCTGCTGACCTTTGAGAGCAGATTTGATTGGAGGGTGGATATGCTTGGCATAGAGTGGGACAAACAGACACACCAGAGACAAACAGGCCGGGGGGGAGGGGGGAGGGTCAAATCTGAGATACACATACAGACGGGACATCTCCTCAGGGTTGTGTGTGTGCACGTGTGTTGGGCATGGAGGGTGGGCATTGTGTTCATAACCTTCAGAGCTGCTTTACGCACAATGTGTTATCACAGTAATGTGATAATGCAGTCATTACCAACAGTATTCTATGTGATGTGGTGCATCATCATGGTACCATGGAGGGGTGCTGTGGTTGAACAGAGGGCACCAGAGGGGCCCAGGAGGGGAGAGAGTTCTGGGCCCCCACAACATAGCTTGTTACTGGTAACAACATTCTAATTACATCTACCATTACAACCACCATGTGGTTGTCTTAAAGGATGGAGAGAGAGAGAGATAGAGCGGGAGAGAGTTAGAGAGGGAGAGAGGGACAGAGAAGAGAGAGGGAGAGAGAACTGAGAGGGAGGGAGAAGTGGGAGGGAGAGAGAAAAGAGAGCGAGAGATAAGTGAGAGAAGAGAGAGGGAGAGAGAGTTAGAGAGGGAGAGAAGAGAGTTAATAACAAGGCTATGCTACATGAAAAAGTTTAGACTTGAGCAATGCTTACGAAATTGTAATACATGTTGTGGGTTAGTTTAGACAGATAATACTTTTCACACAGGGTAAGATATTGAATCATAGAACTCTGGTATTCAGAAGAGAATGAGAATAAGCTTGACATCACTATTAGGTTATTTCATTAAGAACATTAGATTGTGGTTCTTCTTTGATGTCATGAATCCAAGCTGGTTGAGTGTGTGCCGAAATGGAAGACCCTGTCTGCTGGAGGGGATGTTCATCTCAATATGTGTGTGTTTAAGCAAACAGATGAGTGTGTGTGCACTCGCGTCTGTGTTGCATGTCTCTTAGGGGGCTGCTGATCTGTGTGTGTGACCTATGTGTCTCTGGGGGCATGTTGGTCTGATGGAATGTTAACCTAGAAACCAGATTAGGGATAATCCCGACAAGATTACACATCTCATTCCGTCAACAGAGGGATCGACTGCGCTGTGTGTGAGTCACTAAAGTACAGTCATACTGTACTGACCGTCCTTTGAGTATGTGTCTGTGGATAGAATGGGGCAGGTGCATGTGTGGGTTGCTGTAATACCTACCACCTGTCACTGTTTTGCATACGACTCTGACCTCCCAAGTTCACTCGACCTATCCACGGCAGCCTTTAGTATTCCTTGATTTGCCTTAACAAAAAATGTTTCAACCCTTACAAAACAATGTCCATTAATTATAATCCACATAATAATTCACATTTCCAGATGTTGCAGGATTATTTTCCTGCTGTAGCAAACTGGCTCAAATGAACATCTTACATCTGTACACCTTGATTAAGCTGATATAAATCCTCATTATTTAGTTCAATGATTTTTTATTTGAGCGTCATTATTTTTATATAAACTACACTTTCTCGTTCTGAACTTCTAAAGTGAGTGGGGTGGGTGTGGCTTCATGATAATAATCAAGAGCAGCTGCTCACCGATTTGACTGCTCCAACGCAGTTACACCTCTGACACTGCCAAAACATCAGCTATGCGGGTGTCAGCTATCGCTGGTTAAAACTTGATCTGATTGAACCTAGGCCCTAATCTGTGTAATTACCTCGTTGATTCCCTTCAGTATTTCCGTCCGTCCTAAAACCCACTGACCTATCCTGTGTCTCCTAAATCTCACTGACCTATCCTGTGTCCGGCACCAGTACTAATTGTGCCCCACTTCCCCTCATCCCAAGTCATTTTACTGACACCACCTCCCCCACCCACTATCTACCCACTACCCACCACCACTACAGCCACTATCTACGACAGCCAGACGGACAGACTCCTCCACACGGCCATGTCATTAGCTGGTCATTAGAGCTGGGCAGTTTAGACCTGATCTATCTCTCTGACATTGTAACATAGATAACAATGAGGATGAAGCATCAATCTTACTGTGTCTCTATATACTTTAACATGATGCTATCTGTGTGTGTTAAGAGAAGCAAATCTAATGAGAACCAAAATAGAACAATTAACTCCTGCTGGATAAACAAACATCTGTTGTTATCAGCAGCTACATGACAGAAGCTACATGACATGTTCTGAAGTGTTTGGGAGTGTTTGATAGAGTTCCTTCTTGTGTCTCAGACCGTTGTGTTGTTGGGGAGATGCCGTTCTGTTTTGAGATGTTATTAATAGTCTGACAGACAGTTCAATCACAGCACTGGCAGTCAGATGTTGCCTATCCACAAGCCTCTGCGCTGCTGATTATGGAAGAAGACAGCAGGGACTGAAAGTAGTGCGGCTGCACTGTTTCAGGTTATTTTAACTGTCCCCTGTCAACATGCCCACTTGAACTGTTGAAGTGGAGATGCGCCAGAGGCAGGCTAACATGTGATGTGTGTGTGTGTGTGTGTGTGTGTGTGTGTGTGTGCGAGAGAAAGGATACATACACGCACACACACATGCACAAGCAGGGCAAGGAAAAATAAAGAGAAATTTGACAATTCAAATGCCAATGATGTTACCCTTCTTATTGCCTAGCAGCATCCAAACAAATGAGACTGCAGATCAAACAAACTGTGAGAACAAATACCAAATGTGTGTGTGTGTGTGAGGGTGGCATACTGAGACAGAGATACAGTGTGTGAGGGGGGAGAACAGGAGCCCCAGAAGAACTCAAATGTAAAATGTAAGAACATCAATTTGTGTCAACATGAACGCTCAAAAAGAAACACACTTGAGACAAGGATTTTATAACATACTTAGGTTTTTATGTCATTTTCTTCCCCCAAAACTGGAATGTACAGGAGAGAGGAGGCCAGGGAGGTAACATAAACCATCGTATAGTGTCCCACAAAGTCTGCACTTAATCATCTCACAACACTCCTGGCAATCTCTCAACAGTCAGCCTTATCAATCTCAAAAATGTCTCCTTTACAATCTACCTAGCACATCTCGTCTCATGACAGTATCCCTCGTCTCACGACAGTATCGCTCGTCTCACCAACGTCTCATGACAGTATCGGTCGTCTCACCAACGTCTCATGACAGTATCCCTCGTCTCACCAACGTCTCATGACAGTATCCCTCATCTCACCAACATCTCATGACAGTATCCCTCGTCTCACTAACATCTCATGACAGTATCCCTCGTCTCACCAACATCTCATGACAGTATCCCTCGTCTCACCAACATCTCATGACAGTATCCCTCGTCTTACTAACATCTCATGACAGTATCCCTCGTCTCACCAACATCTCATGACAGTATCCCTCGTCTCACCAACATCTCATGACAGTATCCCTCGTCTCACTAACATCTCATGACAGTATCCCTCGTCTCACCAACATCTCATGACAGTATCCCTCGTCTCACCAACATCTCATGACAGTATCCCTCGTCTCACCAACGTCTCATGACAGTTTCCCTCATCTCACCAACATCTCATGACAGTATCCCTTGTCTCACCAGCGTCCGATCTGTCGCTCCTCAGTTCTGAAGTGAGAAGCAGGGCCCCTCCTTCTCTGGATGAGGTTATTGGCACAAAATAACTGAGTGGAAAACAGCAGGTGAGAAAGACAGTGAAACACTATATGGAAAATGGTACACAGAATATGGTAGAATGGACCACAGAATTACACTGTGGTCCACAGAGTCCAGATGGTCCCTGGTAGAGAAAACAGTGAAAGCAGAATGTCTTGAAAGGAACACAAGGACAGGACATGATTATTCAAGCAATCAAAAAATCCATCTGTTCCTCTCTAATCAGAGGTGTCTGTCCCCCATGTCTCAGGTAGTGTGCTGTTGCTTGTAGTCCAATCAGAGTCCAATATTATTGAAGGGTTGTGATGTCAATATGAGGTCCAGAATGTCCCAGAGTGATTAAGAAATGTCGCAGAGAGATGATATCAGACCCAGCGGAAGCTGATCTGTGATGTTTCCCATCACTCTGTCACTACCTTCAATGCTCTGACTATGAACCTCAACATCATAGAAACCATCATACAACATAAGAACAACTACAGTAGGAATCCGCTACTTTGTATGAAAACATTTATGAAACAATACATCTATGTCTGTGTATGAGGTGTGGTCCTGAGACCTGAGGACTGAGATTTAAAGCCACAGATATGTTTAAAGAGATTTAAAGAGATGTTTCCCCTATAGCAGTCATTATGTGCACATTGTGTTGAAAGGGTCCAGCAGACAAAGGATGTTCTAAATCACATTGACAGGTGGACTTCAACATGGTGCTATATATGTTGACTATCGCCTGTGGCATTTCAACAATGACCTCCAACCTTTTCACCTTCTTTACTTCCTGCATTCCTCTCCTTTCCTCCAGCCAACCATAGGTCATCAGTTACCAGTGCAGTGTGGGAAACAAAACCAAACAGATAATTCACCTCTAAAGAAACAAACACTTTCACCGGGCATAGAGGAGCAACATGAACAATACAGTGTGTTAAGGTTTCTGTTCTGTAGCTATGTGTGGATGTGCATCTGCAGGCACAGTATGGGAGAATCACAGTGTTTGTGGCTTCATCTGTTCAAACACTTTCCCAATACTTTGTCATTTTTCTTACTCTGCTTCTTATTGTGTACACCTCTTTGTACTGATGTACTATCCTCCTTCCTCTGTGAAACTTTCTATACAGAAAAGTGAACTATTTCAATGCTAAGGCATTGTAGAGTGAGTGAGAGAATGGGATAAAGGAAGAGAAGGTCCTTCAAACACAAAAACAGAAATAAACAACAGTACCTAGATCTCATCTAGACTCTAAAACAGAGAACATACAGTACAATGCATAAAGAGAACAACTGTGTCTAACAGAAATCTGAATGGAAATATAAAAAATCTACAAATGAGTTCTGAAATAATTATTTTATATAATCTGTAAATGATGACAGTGGGTAGAAATCAGAATCTTGCTTTGATAGTCGCTCTTGTGGTTTTGGTTTTACGCACCACACACAAGCAGACATACAGGTTACTCGTAGGCACACACATACACACACATACAGACACACACACATACACACACTAACACTTTGAAAAGGTTTGACATTTCATATCCAGTGTTCTCACTTTGAGTGAGAGGTGGGGACTGAGTCGCTGCCATAGTGAGTCAGTCAGTTTAATGGCCCACATGTCAATACTCATGGCCTCCATCATAGGGTTCACAGCAGGGAACAGATCAATACCCCCACCCAGACACAACCACCCCTCCCTCCCTCCATCCATCCATCCATCCATCCATCCATCCATCCATCCATCCATCCATCCATCCATCAATCCATCCATTCATTCACAGTGTCAGAGCACTGTACAGCACAGTCCATGGGACAGGAGGGTGAGGGCAGCCATCCCAGACAGTCAGCCATAGAGAGGGAGGTGGGGCGAGTGAGGGAGTGGAGGGAGGGAGCTAGAGGGACAGTTGTATTTCTACATTGAAAACAGCAGTCTATGTGTTGGTACACCTGTATGTCTATGTCAGCCGGGCTGTGTGGCTGTCCCTCCCTCATACTTTGTAGTAGATGTTGGCTGGGCTCTGGGGGGGCATCTCCTGGACGATATAGACGGGGTGGCCGTAGTCCCCGCTCACCTTCTCATAGTGCGGGCAGTAGGCCGAGTCTGAAGTCCGCAGCGGGATGATGATGTCACTGGGCTCTGAGCCGTTGTTGCCTCCAGCGGTACAGCCGGCCCCGCTGGTGCTGCCCCTCTTGGGGGTGAGGGTGGTCAGGGTCAGGGTGGGGTGGTGAGTCTCAGAGTGCTTGTTCTGTCGCCAGCGGTAACACACCACACAGATGACTGCGGTCACGATGAGGAGAAAGGCTCCGCCTCCTACTGCTCCAGCGATCACCGCCACGCTAGAGGAGGGTGGAGGGTTGTTCCCGTTGTTCCCCTCGCCCTCGCCACCTGCCTTGGGTGTCGTCCCATTCCCTGTAAGGGGAGAGGGGTCAGGATCAAAGACTTAATAATACTGTATCATTACACCAGTGAAGTGAGTTTCCTCTCCCTCCTCTGGAGTACTGTACTGTAGACTGACTTACCTTTGGGGTTGAAGCGGTTTGGGTCTGGTTTGGGTTTGGGTGGGAGGCCATAAGCAGCTATGGGAAATCACACAGTTGGTTTAGGGTTGTGAACAACATTACATTTTTATGAATTATATTTTCTGTAAAGTGTATTGAGAATTTAGGCTTTTGTTAAAGGACAATTCACTTTTCTCTAACCAAATCTGTATATAACAATGTTGTATTCCATTTTGTTGGGACTCAGAAAGCGCACACAGAAAATATCGCTTGAGTCCAACAAAACTGAATATAACGTTGTGGATTAAGTTCGGAATGACATAATTTCATGTGTACAACATCTAAAGACCCTGAGAGCGTTGCTGTTTCAAAAGGACGTTTTTTTTGTGCACTTTTCTTCATGTTTTATCTGTGACCCTGCAACTGCAGAACGAGCATGAGGAAATATATTGCTGGTGGGGTAAGTTTCTCAAAACCAAGTGAAATCGCAAAAAAAGTGTCTGGACACTTCTATGGCATACCATTTACATCAGAAATACAGATTTGCTTCCAAAAAAGTGAACTTATCCTTCAAATGCACTTCAAAAATAAATTGTGATTTGATTTGACATATGGCAGTTACAAGAATATTGACGACCCCCATGAATATTCATTTACATGAGGATGATAACTATTGAAAGACTGATATGACACCAAATTGAAGGACAATATATCTGATGAAGATACTCACTCTGTCCCACTTTGAGAATCACCTTCATCCCTCGTGTCACACACACTCCTCCTCTCATGCTGTCCAGTCCCTGCCTTGTCCCATCAGAGGTAGCTAAGAGAGGAAGAGGAGGGGAGGAAGGCTACGGTTAGAGAGATACCTTAAACCAGTCCTCTGTAGCTCAATTGGTAGAGCATGGCGCTTGTAACGCCAGGGTAGTGGGTTCGATCCCCGGGACCACCCATACGTAAAAATGTATGCACACATGACTGTAAGTCGCTTTGGATAAAAGCGTCTGCTAAATGGCATATTATTATTATTATTACCAGGGATGGGCAACTTTGATGGGATTGGGGGCTACCACATTACAAACAAAACATTTTAACAGCCCCCCTTTTGACAGCGGAGATACAAGTTTTAAAGTTAATTTTTTAATTCATCCATGGGGCGTAGAGAAAATGTTGCAGTTTTAAAACAAGTGTTCTGCAATTCTACACATTTTGCCATGGGGCAGAGAGAAGAATTTGCAATTTTATAACGAATTTCATGCAATTCTACAAATTTTGCCAAAGGTTCGAGAGAAATGTTTGCAGTTTTTAATATGATATCTGAGTGAAACTGACTAACAAAATCAATGGGGGTCCCCCGGTCGGTAATTCGACTATGATTACTAAGTTTAGATATCTAGGCCATTAGACTAATTTACCAATAAAAAAAAATGCTGACGGGCTAATTGAGTATTTATTACAGATCCCCATTTATTACGGATCCCCATTAACGGCTGCCAAGGCAGCTACTCTTCCTGGGGTCCAACCACAATTTACATACAATAAAACAATACATAACACAACACCTTATTACACACTACTCTTCCATAACATATTTACAATACAAAATCAATAATACAGCAAAATAACAGTGACTATAAGTAAGTGACATAACAAGAGAAAAACTGCTGATGCACAATCAAATTTCGAAATTGTACTTTGTGCATTCTACTATTCTAACTTGCAACAGTAAGTTGAGTAAGTTTTTTTTTAAACACGTGGGTCCTTCTGGCCAGGGGAACTAGGTCAGAGCAGGGAGCCAGAAGTATTGCCCCGTCAGACACACTGAACCCAATCCCACAACCATGTCTATGATATGACCCATTTCACCCACACAATTCCCCAGACACAGTCAGAACAACAACCCAGCCACATCCCCTGACCGTTTAAATAGGGCTGTGGCGGTCACAACATTTTGTCAGCCGGTGATTGTCAAGCAAATAACTGTCAGTCTCACGGTAATGGACCGTTAATTAACATAAACACATTTAGCATCTCCTGGCATCCACAAATACCCTACAAGCCATTTTAACAAGTCTAATAAATCCATGTAATATAGCCTACACCTTCACAATAAATCCATTATTTATTTTAGACAGGTCTAAATGTAGTCTATTTCAGAAGAAAATAATAGCATACTCTGAGTTGTCCTTATGTTAGGTCAAGATGTGGCTATGCTATATGGCTGTGGGCTACACTAGTTCATTTAGCAGACAAAATGTGCTTATAATTCAATGGCAACATTTTATATTATTTTATAGTATGAAGAATACAATTGAACAAAGCTGAATAAAATATAAATATTTTCTTCAAACGATATGAGGGAGTGTGCACATGCGGCTATTCTTTGTTGAGCGGTTAACAAAGAAATAGGTACTCCTTTATGATTAATTTAGAGTTATTAATGTAACTTTAGTTGTTCTACAAACGTTGGGCTATATGTTTTGATTTTTAATACATTGTAAGGCTGCATGATGAGACTCTAATGATGATTTGAAAAAAGTTGCTTGAAAGGCATGAGCTCTGCTTTGTTTTTTTTTGCGCAGGCTGTACACACTCCAATAGTGTCTCATTCACAATTTGACAAGCACTTGATAATGCCTCGAATTTCACGGCGGCATCCCCTTTGTGGCCATAATGCATCCTAAAAAAATCCATGCCTTTTGCGGCCCGGAGTGCTGCATTGTGCCCTTCTCCCTGAGTGTGCTGCGCAATCCGAAGCCTCTCCGTCACGTGATCGGGTCTTTCTCACAGGCTACAAGTTAAGACAGACACATCGGGGCCACAACTGCGTGTGTCCTTATCCAATTCCAAGGTGCATATTAAAGATATTGGAAGAACTGTCCACATTTACTTTTCGTCAGCTAACAAGATGAGTAGGCCTAACGAACAGCAAAAGCACTAGCCTATGTCAATCTACTATCCCCCATAGTACAAAAGTCGACCTATTCTATTCTGTGCGAGAAATAAATATTCCAAACATAGTCTGGGACAGTTGCGGGATGCAATAGATCCCAAATTAATACAACCACTAACATAAAAAAACATGTTTTATGCAGTGTGGCTGGCGCAACAGATCAGAACGTTTAGCTTAAAATGTTGATAAACTATTAGGCTATTTCTTCACATTATAAGCCCAGCAATGCGCACATGGTAGTAGGCTATAAGAGCGTTATCAAAAGTGACCGCAAATGCAATTATGCATGTAATGCTTTTATTATAAAGGTGCATTTATATGGTGAACATTATCTTCCCCAAACTTGAAACTGCTTATATATGCCAGTTAAGCTCTACAACCCTTGTAAAGCGGATTAATGTGCTTGATTTTAAGAAGTTATTTGGCCCCTTTAGTTGTGATACAAACCTTATTAAAACATATAGGCCTATGGGCTAGGCTACATGAGGTGTGCGACTATGATTCGAAAAAGTCACAAAAAAAAGGCTTTGTTTCTTATGCTGGGCATCATTCACAAATGATAATATATCATTCACAAGTGACAGGCTAATATTGTCACCCATCAGACTATTCTTGATGTAATCTTGTCTTTACATATACAAAATAATATATGTGTGACGTTTGTTTTGATTATCATGCACCTGTTTAGAAACAGTGGCAGGGGAAACAATACATGTAATCTGGACGCTTTTCCCTGTGGTTTATTTTCATGCCAGCCAGGTAGGCTATACTCCTGTTGTAAATATAAGCAATGTGCTTAATATTAGGAAAGTTGAGAAATAAATATAGTAAGCCTGGCCTACCTGGCTGGCCATCACTGTTTTCTCCCGCAATTGCATAGCCTATAGAAATGTTGCACAACTTGAAGTGTTTGATTAGATTCAAAAATGTTTTGCATTGATGTCAGAGTGATTAGAGGGACAATAGAGTAGTGCTGAGTACCAGGCAGTTAGCAAGTTTGGTAGGCTACTAATGACCAGCAGCAGCATCAGAGCTTGGAGAAGCCTAATTACCATGACCATGTAGAAATTTGACTTCCTTCATGACTCGTGACCGCCGGTGTGGCGGTAATACTGTCACCGCAACAGCCCTACGTTTAAACACCAACCCAGTCATATTAATCCAAACCAAGACTAGTGGCCATTTAAACCCACATCAGTCATAATCACACCACATGCCCACATGACACCCTCCTACAGTATCAATCCCTTCTATTTACAGTTTGAGGCTATAGATTACATAACACTAGCAGGTAAGGTGTAAGGAAAGGTATTACATATCCCCACAAAATACTACAGTTCACTATAGAATACTACAGTACTTATTATAGAATTCTGTAGTAAGTGGTTTCTCTCTCTCTCTCTCTCTCTCTCTCTCTCTCTCTCTCTCTCTCTCTCTCTCTCTCTCTCTCTCTCTCTCTCTCTCTCTCTCTCTCTCTCTCTCTCTCTCTCCCTCTCTCCCTCTCTCTCCCTCTCTCCCTCCCTCTCTCCCTCCCTTTCCCAATTGGAAGCAAAGGTACAAAGAGGGAGAGAAGGAGAGGTGTAAGAACCATAAATAAACAGAAGAGTGATAAAGAATGAACAATAGAGGACAGTAATCATGTGAGGTTAATTAAATGAGAAATAGAGAGGGTCTATTAGAGAGGAAAGTAGAAGAGGGAGGGTGAGTTTCATGGTGTATGGTATTTGAGTTGAGTAGACTCTCTCGCGTGTCTCAGTTTAAAGGTTCACTGGTTTACTGAACAGATATGACAAAGTGCTAATGACATGATTGTGTATGTGACAGAAACACACGCACACAGGAGTACACAGATACACATATATACATGCATGCACAATCGAGATGTAATCGAGATGATGACCAACTTTGGAGAGAGACAGAGAAGAAGAACTGAGAGAAAGAGCAAAGGAGAAAGAGAGAAAAGAAGGAGTGAGTAATTGAGATGATGATCTGTGGCGAAGGAGAGAAAGAGAGAGATCGGGATGCACAGCCACGGACAGAAACAGGCGGAAGTCTGCCCCGAAAAACCCCAACACAAGACAAAAGGGAAAAACTGTTCATGCATTTAACTAGAAGGAGACTGACCCATTAACACATGAGCACACCCATTCTGTAGTACATGGGTTTTACACACAGACAAGAGACAGGAGGAGGGGAGGAGGGCTGTTTTTGTCTCTGGCACATCCTAAATTGACCCAGCGAGTGACCCACTTAGCCCTAACCCCTACCCCTCCCCTCGCCAAACCTCCCCCTCTCTCCTAAGTGAGAGAGCAGCTAAGGGATTTACCCATCTTGACCAAGGATAGAGGAAGCAGCGAAATTCCAAAAGATGGGTTTACCCCGCCTTTAACGGGCCGAAATCGAATTAACCGTTTAACCCATCCCATGTGAAATTAAATCTGTGAGCCTTGCATAAAACCCCCTCCTAACACAACGTAATTCTAATTCAGTTCAGCGGATTCAGGCTTTAGTTGAGCCCACGTCAGCTGTCACTCTGCCCTATGGGCCGGGCTCCATCAGCAGAAGTAACACATACAGGCACACAGAGTAGCTACATTGCTGGGGGACTCTCAGACCACTCTGTCCAACAGGGTGTTAAAACAGGGACAATGTGCCACGGGAGGTCACTGAACTCAAACACCCTGCTTCACTCGTTTGCCAGCCTGCGCCTTGCAACGTAGCGCCATATCTGAACTTTTTTTTTTACAGAAAGGACGGCAATAATGCCCACTGTAAGGGAAATGGACAGGTAAGGCTAGACATGGCTGTAAATCTAGACTGCAGTCTGTCTGGAAGTTGTTAAAGTACAGTAGCCCAATATCAGCCCATTGTTAACG